TGGGAGTGAAGTCATCCCTGCTCAACCAATGAAAGCGGCCAGCGATCAAGACCCAGAATCTGGCAGGGAGCTTAGAAATGTTGCATCGCTGGATCCAAGGTGAGCATAGCTCGGCTTTAGGGTGACTTTGCTACCTGTGTGGATATAAATGCTAGGGTATGTTCCTGACACTCATTAGAATAAAAGAAGTGGCTTGGAAATGCTATGAAACATCTTAAATTTTAGAGAACAAGTCCAGATGAATGTGACTAGCTATTAATAGCTATACTATGACCTTGATATGTGAGAACCTTCACAGATGTGTAGTCATGCAAATTTTACCAAATGACAATGGAAATGGTATTTGTTCAACATTCATATTTTACCATCTTTAAAACTGAGCTCTTTTGGTAGACAGCAGCAGCTACAAGACCATCAGGTCATGGAAAAAAATACAAATTTAATACATATATATATATATATATATATATATATATATATATATATATATGCATACACTCACTGGCCACTTTATTAGGTGCACCTTACCAGTGCCAAATATCTCCCACACCATTACACACCCACTACCAGCCTGAACCATTGATACAAAGCAGGATGGATCCATGTTTTCATGTTGTTTACACCAAATTCTAACCCTACCACCTGAATGTCGCAACAACCAGTCTATCCATTCAACTCTGACCTCTGACAACAACAAAGCATTTTTGTCCACATAACTGCCGCTGACTGGATATTTTCTCTCTTTTGGACCACTCTCTGTAAACCCTACACATGGTTGTGCATGAAAATCCCAGTATATCAGCAGTTTTTTAAATACTCTAGTGAGCCCATCAGGCACCAATAAACCATGCCACGTTCAAAGTCACTTAAATCCCCTTTCTTCCCCATTCTGATGCTCAGTTTGAACTTCAGCAAGTCATCTTCACCACATCTAGATGCCTAAATGCATTGAGTTGCCGCCATGTGATTGGCTGATTAGCAATTTGTGTTACCGAGCAATTGAACAGGTGCACCTAATAAAGTGGCTGGTGTATGTAAAAAAAATGACTTTTATATATATATATATATATATATATATATATATTAAACATATCAAGTATATATGTATATATAAATAACAAAACTACTGGCTGCCATAAGATAGTATTTTGCTCTGGGATGTCAAGTATTCTAGATGTAGATGAAGTTTATTTTTTTAAATATTGTCTCATCATTTGCTTCCATCTCCTGTTATTTCCATCAGAGATAACTTGCTATTGTATATTCACCCTTCAGAGAGCTACTTCTTTTGTTTGATACCTGGCATCGAACCCGCAGCCGAAATGGAGGAGCTAGGCTTTGTCAGGGATCTCCTCGCTATCACCCAGTATCCCCTGCTCTGAAATCTGCAGCACATCCTTTCTGTGCAGGGGAAAGGTATGGGTGTCCTGCCAGTGTTAGAAGTGCCCAGTGTTTGTCCAAGCGTTTCATGGCAGAGAGGCCTGCAAAACAGCATAGCAATGCATATAGGGGCATGAAGAATAATCCATGTATTTATGTATTTCTCTTATAAAGGTTGTTGTGAATTTTTAGCAGTTAGGATAAAATTATTTGCCATGATTGAATCCATCAAGAATTTCCTTTCTGAACTATTGCAGCCTCGCTGTAATCTGTGTTTGTGTAAACAAAGTGACATTGCAATTTGTAACTTCAAGTGAGCCCATCAGTAATTACACATTATTTGCTTCCCATTACTCACATAGCTACTATAGACTGCATTCACACACAAGTAGCCTTCCTTAGCATGCAGAACCATACTAAAGGAAGCCAACAGTTTTTTACTGCTTGAGTTTAGGTGCTTGTACACGCTTACATGTGTTACCATCAGTTAACATCAGTCACTTAGATTACATCAGTTAGAATTTACATTAAATAAACAAAATAAAATATGCACAACATTAAATATACATGGAAGCATGAAGTTATAAACCATGGGAACTGGTACCATTTATAAAAATTGGACTTTATAGAGTATTGTATATTGCACAATAGGTACAGTACATGCTTATGGCTTTTTTTTTTTACCATAAGGCACTTGTTGACCAGTACCCAGAGCAGCAAGGTTAGATAGGAGATAGGGGAGCATGAAGCCTAAAATGTACATAAAGGGCAGGGATTGCACAAATAAAGACAGGATAAGCTTCACTGCTAGGTTATTAAATGAATTCTGAGAAAGAAGCAGTGACAGAAGTATACTGGGGTAAGTAAAGCTAATAAGGTTCATTGGATCACCCTTGCACCAAGGCATGGCATATTATATTCATGCCTACTAGAGTTTTCTGGAGCTTCATTGTGCTTAAAGCAAGCCTTAATTGCCATTTTTAAGGGATGCTCTTGCCATAATGCCATCATTGACAGTTCGGTGCTATTCTTAATCACTCCATTTGCCGTCATCTTCTCCACTTCTTCTGGCCCAACGTTTTTATGTCAGAATGTGCCGGGAGTGCAAATTGCGCTGCACTTCAGGCAGTATACCAAAGAAAAAAAAAAGTTGCTAGCAAGAAGAGGAAATAATTTTTTTGGAAGAAGAGACTTTCAAAGATCCAAATATTTATTATTGCTTAGCTCTTCTCTAAATAATATTACATTTATTTTCTTCATAAATATGGCATACCATGACAGTAAATATTTTTTCACTATATTGGAACTCACTTCTATGCTTTGAGATAAGAGGTCTCGTACCTGTCAAAATTGAAATTTGTAAATACATCAAGCACAGAAGGCAGTGGTTTTCTTTGAAGGATCTCTTGTTTACACAGAACAGAATGTGAGAGCTTGCTGTAATGCGGTACATCATATGAATGTTTAGCCTGTGAAGTGCATTGCGAACATCTGAAAACAGGTTTGCTGGCCCCTTTGACTATGAAGTGTCTTATGTCTTCTGTGTTTTGTGACTGTCAGTGTATTGTTTGTGACTGTCACCTACTTTCCTTTCTTAACCTTGTCACTAAATTCACTTTACAATCCCTGCTTTCTTTTATTATACCTCATTTTTTTTGTTCGTTTAGTATAGTAAATGCTATCATCCCTGAGACAGGCTGATGGATTACAATGACCAATTATAGGGATATATTTCTCCTCTATGGTGTTGTTTCATTACAGTTTTCTGTCTTGCTTGAGCAGGCTTTTGTTATGGTTCCATACTGTATAGGGAGACTAGAAGTACAGGAATGCGCCAACAAGTGGCTTTTAATAAAATTTTAAATCCATACAGGACTTGATGTTGCATAGATGAAGTATGTCTTATTTTACCAATTGTTCAAAATGATTGATAGTCAACTAAGAATGTACATCCCAAGACAACCTTGTTGTTGTGTATATAACAACATTATATAAAATTATATTTTACATAAAATTCGTATTTCCAGCAATTGCCTTCCTTTAGCAGACTGAACTCTTTGTAATAGTAACCACTGACCTTTTTACAGTAATAAGCGGAGTTTCTTTCGTCTGTACGCTGGTTGGAAGCCCAGGTATTTATCCATTGGAATGGGATGATGATATGCATGTGCGTGTCTGAATTGGCCACATAAAGACCAGCCTAAAATAAAAGCTCTATTTACATAAGGAAGGTCCGAGAATTGTGCTTCCTATCTAGAAAGCTGGCTAAAATTACCAGAGGGTTTCTATGTATTGGGATACAGGAAAAGAGGGAGCAAACTATTACAAGCTAAAGTTTCCTAAACTAAAATTCTGGCCCTATATTAGGTCTATATTAAAGTTTTCATTTGCAGCTGTTTATCTGGAGCTGTCCCTCATCCATTGTGTCATAATATATAGACATCTTTCATAGTATTTATGCTGTAATGTATTGTTTTATGACTATTCCCCCAACACTTTAAGTTCTTAATTTAATCCATCAAGTACCAGCAGTTATACTGTATCATAAAAAATGTATTTTTACATTTTTCAATTTTGCTGGCACACATAGGGTTAAATTAGTCGCAATATTTCTTAAACCCTTTCATTGCTATGAGGGTCTCCAGCTATGGTGGCACTCATGGCTGACAAGGACTTAAGAGTGTCCTTAAGATGTGTTTGCATGCAGATGGTTTCCTGGGATCGCAGTAGAGGAATGAGGTGTGAAGCATCGCAATAGAGGAATGAGGATTGTAGAATCGCCTGCCTTGGCAGCATGCTGTACTGAAGTATATTATAACACACTACAAGAGGCTATCTCCAGGTGAAGCAAGTGCCATACCTAAGGTGCTTTACAGATCTGTCTTGTGGTCTTGGGATTTTGTTTGAAATGGAATGTAAAAGGCCATGTTTTGAAATTGAGGCTGTTCATTGCCTGGGAGGACTAATTTAAAGAAGATTTGTTCCTCAGAGAATGGCTTGTTAGATAACTCCAGACATGAGTACTCAACATGGTGAAAGAGTTGTTGTTCAAGAAGAAAGTCTTTTTAAAATCTGTTTTTTCAGGGTCCTTTTTGAAATCTATAATGTATGGATATTTTAGCATACGTTATCCATGTTTTTACACTGTTCTTTAATGTGAGGGCAGTGTCAAAGCCACAGCTTTAGCAAACATTGCAAGACCTTATGTTTTAATCTTGGACCCCTATCCGACCATATTTTCACCATAATGAGAATTCAGTCTGGTTTGTTGTCATTTGGTTCAGAAAATGCATGGATTTCTGAAAGGTTTACAATAATACATTTTAAAGGGCTAAACTTTATTGCAAGTCCCACAGGCATCAATAAATATGTTTTTAGAAGAAGCAGTGACTCCTAACCTCTACTAGTGTCTAAAGTATTCCTTTTTAGAGGTAGCATAAAGAATAGGCACATATACTTAAGAGAAAGGAGAATACCTTTTGTTCTCTGTCGCTGTCCTGTCCCCTCACAATTCTTTTATTTCTTTCCTTTTCACTACCCTTAATATGTTTCTACCTCCCCTGTTCCATGGCTCAGTTATCTGCTTTCAAGTTGTCTTTATAAAATCTTCATAAAAACTGTTTGTATTTTGTATTACCCAACTCCCTAGCAATAAGGTAGGACTGAAAGATCGAATGCGGGGTACTGGTGCTCCAAAACAGAGTGCACGCAGCAAACAGTATCTGGCTCCTCCAGAAAGCACTTCTCCTGGACTAGACCTTCCTGCAGAATCACCTAGCCCTACCAAGGTGCAGAAGAGTTGGAGCTTTAATGACCGTACACGGTTTCGGGCTTCTTTAAGGCTTAAACCAAAACCACAGACAGATGGTGAGTAAATGGATTTGCTGATGTATCCAAGGACCTTTTGTTTTAGAAATAAACAGAAATTGTGAAGGGAATAATCTGATGATTTACGGACAAGGTTTATTCAAATGTAAATGTTAAAGGCTAAATTTATCCAATACTAACATATTAATTTTTGGAGGTTTGAATTACCAGCTGACTGCCCTAGATGTTTAAGTGGGGGTTCATCTGCTAGAGCGCTCAGATCAGACCTTTGCTGCAGTAGTTTCACCAAGCAATTGAATCCTTGTCCTCTGGCTGTATTCTCTATGCTGTAAAATACAAATAGAAAGAATTGGTAAAAGAAAGGCTACCTCTTGATTTTGTAAAATTACTGTGGGTAGAGCTGGAAACATAGACATTGTAATTATGCCCCCCAGAATTTAAAGCAGGCATAATATTCCCAACCCACATGTTCCTGAAAGTGGCTGAGAATGTGAATGGGTGCTGCAGCAACCACTGGCTGGGAACAAAAACTTTTCAAAGTGGAAAGTATGTCACCACCACACTATGGATATTCCAAAGCTTTATTCAGCGATCACGTTATGAGAACAGAAGCAATGTTTCTGAGTCTCACAGGACCCCTTCATCAGGCATGTGACCTGATGATGTCAGATGCCTGATGAAGGGGTCCTGCAAGGGTCCAAAACGTTGCTTCTGTAATCATGATGTGATCCCTGAATAAAGCTTTAGACCTGTTCTGGATATCCATGGTGTATACTTTCCACTTGGAATATAAAGCAGGTATACCCATAAAAATCTTTGAAAGCCAATCCACTGAACCAGATGAATAACATGAAATTGTAAAAAGAACAACTTATATCATATATGTGGTGGTTCGTTCAGGTCAAAAGTAGGGGTGTGGAACTCTTGCCAAAATGCAGCTGAAGTGTGTCACGTCTTCACGACAGCTGCTGCTGTTACAGATGTCATACTGCCAACACACTGAATTGAAACATATGAGAAAGCTCAGATGATGATTGCCGATTAGCTGGCAAACCAAGACCAAGAACTGTGGAGCAGAAATGTGATCTCACAGACAGGTGGTCAAAGCAGGAGGAAGACAAAATCCGACCCATGTTAAATGTATTCAAGAAAGCAGTTAAAGATACAGGGTTTCAGATAAATAGATCCTTTGATCATGCGCAGGCTGAAGAATGTCCAGCAGAAGAAGGAATGCAGATTCAGCAAGTCTAAACCATACTATACCCGTGATCTGTGAACACAGTGCAGGTGCTGGCAGATCACCACGCCATTGTTATTTTTAAAAAATATAAAATTAACGCCTGCAAAAAAAAACCCCAAAATATATATATATATATATATATATATATATATATATATATATATATATACAGTTGTGCTCAACAGTTTGCATACCCTGGCAGAAATTGTGAAATTTTGGCATTGATATTGAAAATATGAATGATCATACCAAAAAATACTATTTTGTTGAAGGATGAAGATCATATGAATCAATTTGTTATCAAATAGTTGTTTGGCTTCTTTTTAAATCATAATGATAACAGAAATCACCCAAATGACCATCATCAAAAGTTTACATACCCTGGAATGTTTGGCCTTGGTACAGACAAACAAGGTGACACACACGTGTTAAAATGCCAATTAGAGGATAATGTCCCTCATCTGTGGCTTTTTAAATTGCAATTAGTGTCAGCGTATAAATAATCAATGAGTTTGTTAGCTCTTACGTGGAAGCACTGACTAGGCTAGATACAGAGCCATGGGGATCAGAAAAGAACTGGCAAAAGTCCTACATAACAAGGTAATGTAACTTTATAAAGATGGAAAAGGACATAAAAAGATGTCCAAAGCCTTGAATATGCCAATCAGTATTGTTAAATCACCTATTAAGAAGTGGAAAGTACAGGGATCTTTTGATACCAAGCCAAGGTCAGGTAGACCAAGAAAGATTGCAGCCACAACTGCCAGAAGAATTGTTCGGGATACAAAGGGAAACCCATAGGTAACAACAAGAAAAATACAGTCTGCTCTGGAAAAAGACAGTGTGGTTGTTTTGAAGGAGCACAATAGGATGACACTTGAAGAAAATTGAGCTGCATGGTCGAGGTTCCAGAAAGAAGCCTTTACTGCATCAATGACACAAAAAGGCCTGGTTAGGCATGTCAAGGTGTTGTCAGGTATATTGTAACTGGGATTTTTTGTGGCATTGGTGCAGTAAAAGCTTCTTTCTGGCACCTCCACCAAACAGCTCATTTTTGTTCAAGTATCACCGTATTGTACTCCTTAAAAACAACCACACCATTTTTTTTTTTTCAGAGCAGCCTGTATTTCTTTTGAGGTTGCCTTTTCTTTTAATCCTGGACAATTCTTCTGTCAGTTATGGCTGCAATCTGTCTTGGTCTACCTAACCTTGGCTTTGGTATCAAGAGATCCCTGAACTTTCCACTTCTTAATAGGTGATTTAACAGTACTGATTGGCATATTCAAGGCTTTGGACATCTTCTTATGTCCTTTTCCATCTTTATAAAGTTCCGTTACCTTGTTACGCAGGACTTTTGACAGTTCAGTTCTGATCCCCATGGCTCACTATCTAGCCTAGTCAGTGCTTCCACGTAAGAGCTAACAAACTCATTGACTATTTATACATTGACAATTTAAAAAGCCACAGATGTGGGACATTAACCTCTAATTGGCCTTTTAACCCGTGTGTGTCACCTTGTGTGTCTGTACCAAGGCCAAACATTCCAGGGTATGTAAACTTTTGATGATGGCCATTTGGGTGATTTCTGTTATCATTATGATTTAAAAAGGAGCCAAACAACTATTTGATAATAAATGGGTTCATATGATCATCATCCTTCAATAAAAGAGCATCTTGGCATGATCAGTCTTATTTTCAATATCAGTGCCAAAATATCACAATTTCTGCCAGGGTATGCAAACTGTTGAGCACAACTGTGTGTATGTGTGTGTGTGTATATATATATATATATATATATATATATATATATATATATTTATTTATTTTTTTAACATGGTACCAATTTGCAATACAGGAATTTATCATTAAATACAAATAAGTGTGACAAGGAAGGTGAATATTGTTGGTTAAGGTCAGATTGAGAAACAACTGTCCTATGGGCACAATGCGATTTCAACATAAAGTATTTTTCCACAGAGTGAGAGGATGGCTTACTCTCCCCCTCACATGTGAATTTTGTTTTATTATTAATACGGGTTTTTTTTATGTCTATCACCACCTCATAAGGCATCAAATGTGCAGATGATCCCAATGTCTTTAAGAACTAAAGTGGTAATTAAAAAGGGGAGCTTCACCTTTACTGCTTTCCAGCCTTAGGGATAAGATTTGATATGCCTTGGGTACAGGGCTGGTGTCTACAACTTTGTTTTTTACACCAATGCAGTACTAAGCTTCAAATCTTCAAAATTCATTGTAATGAACTACATTTTGCATGCCACTGCAGCATAGATAAGTAAAAGGGGTACACAGCCAGACTAAATTTATTGCTGTTTGCAGCAATGTGTAATATTTGTATTTAATGTTGCTTAGTAAGAGGGCAACATACATTTTTACTGAAATCCCCAAATGACCCATACACCAATGGAAACTGCATTTTTAGCAATTTGTGTGCTCTTTAAAAGAGGTAGACAGTAACTGGCTGCAATTCCACAATTATGTGAACATTATCTTTTCCTCCCAGCAGAGGGAGTAGGAGATGACAGTAATGATGAGAAGAGGCTCCCCAGTGATCTAACTATGGAGGAAATAATGCCAACTGTGAAAACACTGATCAGAGCCTTTCGGTGAGCATAGCATACTGTTATGTACTGCAGAATGGATATGAATAAACACAATAATATTCTGGACAGCTGTTAAATAAAACAGATTAAACAATGCACACTTGAATACCTTTTATAAAAATGCACATTTATAGGTATTATATTACATTATATGCCTTTTAGTTTAAAAGTTTTACATTAATAAAGTATGTAATATTCTGACCCAGACTGTTTTTCTATACTATGTGTCGTCCCTATAGGATCTTAAAGTTCCTTGTAGCAAAGAGGAAATTCAAGGAGACTCTCCGTCCATACGATGTGAAGGATGTGATTGAGCAGTACTCTGCTGGCCATCTAGATATGTTGGGACGAATAAAAAGCCTCCAGTGTCGGTCAGTGGTCAACTACATAATAGGATGGATTGTAATACTACTATAAATAAAACCCCTTTGATTTATCTGGCTGTATATAATAATAATTTCACAAACTAGTATTGGGAGAAACTGCACCATTTCGCGAATCAGCAGATTCCAGTGAAACTATATTTCAGTGCAGGAAGGGTTAATCTTTGGAGCAAAGGACCCCAGTGCAGGAGAGGTGAATATGGAAACAAATGGAATACAATTAAGTTGGGAATGGTTAGTTTTAGTAGTAGGGTTACAGGGATGGTTAGTATGGGTGTTAAAGCCTTTGTAAGGGCAGCTTTTTCCCCTAAAACAGCAAACTTGTTTTACTTACCTACTCTGTGCAATGGAGTTTCAATGGGCAACCCAAACCTCCTTTTTTGGATCTCCCACTGACTTTCTCAGCTCCTCCCCTTCTGTACTTGCCACCATAGCAAGCCACTTGCTATGGGGGCAGAATTGCAAGCTCACTCCTGATCTGGGCTGCGTGCATCCATAAACGCACACAACACAGCTTGGCCCCGCCCCCTGCTCTCTGCTCACAATGTTTGACAGCAGCAGGAGTCAGTGGCTCCTGTAGCTGCCTGAGTCCCTGTGAGATGAGGAAGAGACAGGAGAGAAGACTGCAGCTATTATTATTATACAGGATTTATATAGCACCAACAGTTTGCTCAGTGCTTTACAATATAACAGGAGATAATACAGCAACAATACAGTTCAATACAAGAGGGATAGGAGGGCCCTGCTCCTTGGAGCTTACAATCTAGAAGATAGGCACAGAGCTGCTGCCTCTCTGTCTTGTGAATTCAGGGAGAGAGGAGAGAGCTGCTACAGACAGGCACACCCTGGATCAAGTGAGAACTCAGGTAAGTATTTAAAGGGGGGGTAGGTGATACTGCTACTGGGACATTTTTTACCTTAATGCAGAAAATCTGTTAAAGTACAACTAAAGCCATGTTTTGGACGGAGTGGAGAGGAATTAGATCCCCTGTCAGTTGTGGTTGCTGTCAGTGCCCCCATTAGGGAGATTCACCCTCTCTACTTGTCCTGTTTACCATTATCACTGAAAGTGAAAGTAAAAGAAAATCCCAATATTTTGGTTGTCCCCAGTGAAGAGGGAAAAAGGGGAAATCTTCCAATGGGGACACTAGTTCTGATGACCTGGGAGTCCCCTAGGGATTCTCTTAATTTGCAGGGATAATCTCTCACTTCTTGTTTTGGCTATGGGACAGGAAGTGGATGGAATTCTCCCCAGATGGCAAAACATAAACTGACAGGGGTTATGACCATCCATTACTAGGAGGTTGTATGTTGTCCACAATAGATAGCTGGAAATGTGATAACATATTTTGAGATTTCAATGCAGTACACAGGTCTCTACAAGCACACTTCATCTCTGGCAGGATCAGTAGGTATTTTTCTGTACCTCCAATATATTACATTTTTGTTCTTAGGTTTACATATACGTTAAAGCCCAAATTAATCCTTTTACTTTTTAGTACACTAGTAAGTGCTGTAGCAAGAATTAAAATAGCCTTGTACTGCTAACTCACAGGAGAGTAAAACCATGACTGTACTACACACAGCAGTAGAAGCCTAACACTGCTCTAATCAACAGATTGGAAAAGTGTTCAGGGGAACCGTATAAAAAATGAAAGGAGCCAAATATTTATTACTAAATATGCAACCAGGCATAATTTCAGTAATTGACAATGAAGGTTTAGTTGAAAAATGTATAAATGTCTAGTAGAAGAGGTCTTTTCCTTTAAATCAAGGTGATGATGCATATTGAAAAACAATGTAAGGAATATTATTATGAGACAAACACAAGACTGCCATTGCTGACCTTCTTTAGAATATGCTAGATCCAACACAAGCATGCAACAACTGAAGTCAGCATACAGTCAGTACTCCGAATATACATACTGGTTCCAGATCATTGACCCAGTGCACATTGAGAGGGTGAGCAATAAGTCAGGAAACTAGAATTTTAAAAATCAGATTGATTTCAATGCTTTTTTTAAAGTGCTGGTAAGTGGAATAAAGTGGAGTAAAATGTTTGATGATGTTAAAGACTGACCCAAAGGCATTCATATATAATCAGTTTTTATTAACGTTGACTCACAGAGTAGACCAAATTATTGGCCGAGGTCCTGTTCCAGTGGAGAAGAAGCCACGTGAAAAAGGAGAGAAACCCCCTATTGGACATGAAGTAGATGCTGCTGATGAATTGAGTATGATGGGAAGAGTGGTGAAGGTTGAGAAGCAGGTAAGCAACATGTTGTAAATAGTATTGGGTCAAAATGAAAAGAGATTTCCAAATGTTGGAATATTTTTAGCAGTTAAGTTTAATTTCCCTTTCATTACAAAATATAAAGAAAGTCCTTCCACTGTGCATATACCAAAATAAAAACATGTTTGGATTGTGATTACATTTCCTTGACTCAATGTCAAGATGGCCACATATAATTTAATTTAAAATTGCATTATATGTCTGATCTGATTTATGTTTTTTGTGCTGTACTCCATTATCAAAAACTCTGCTTTCCATGTACATTGAGCTGTCAGAGAAGGCTTACCAGCTACTCATGGTAAAGTCCATTCAGGAAAAAAGTCTGAAAATTGTTTTCAAGGTAAGTCAGGAACATTATGCATTGAAGAAGTCAAGTAGCACTTCAGATTAAGTAGTAGCAGCAGTAGTAGTTCTAACAAGATTTGATATTAAAACAGAATTGTGGACCCTCTAATGTTTCTTCCTTAAAAAAAAAAAAAGAAAACAATACTTGTGCTGAAAATGTAAGGATGCAGCCATATCTGGACCTGAGGTTAGGAACAAGTTTAACCCATCAGGGACATATGCCTGCCTGCTATTGTTCTTGTGGACATTTTTTAATTACACCAGCAAGGATTACACAGGTAGGAATAGGTTATCATGCTCTAGATATGAAAGCAAATGTGGTTCATTACATGGAAATCACACTTTTGTTGACATTGTATCATTTACGTTGTGATAACTTTCTGTGATTTTCAATCACCAAACCACACCATTTGTCTCTATCTCTGTATTTTAGGATTGCTGTAAGGTTCTCCCAACAAATTCAGCCTTCCAAAATACCCATAGCATAGTAATCTCCAGGAGACCTAGTTGATTAGAAAGTCACACTATCCTGAAACCTTTAAAATAGTTATAAATCCTCAACTTGTTTTTAGCTTAACCCCTTCACGCCTAAGGGTAAAACAAATCTAAATGTCTAAGCACAATTCTGCAACGTTGACATGTGATAGTAAAAACCGTACATATCATCACAACTACTTTGTACATCCAGGTGGATTATACCTTGTTTTTTCAGGACAAATTGGGCTTTCATTTGGTGGTAAATGGTAATGGATAGCTCCTAATTTTTTTTTATTATCAAAGGAAAACTGGCCCAAAATAGTAAAAAAAAAAAATCATTTTTTATATTTAGCTGTGTTTCTTGTTACGACCATAACCTACCTCCATAGTACAAGCCAAAATAAATTTTCCAGCTCTTGACGATCACAGCGATACCATATATGTGTATGTTATTTGTTGTTTGTACCCGTAGTACAGCCCAGAAACAATAGTACGCATTTTTTTACCTAAAACACACTGACATTATTAACGCTAACTGACACTGATACCATTTTTTTTTTAAATCCTGACATTTGACCCTGACCTTTCACCTTGACCTTTGACCCTGACCTTGACCCAAACACTAACCCTGGCACAGAACTAGATCAAACCTTGATCTAGGAATTTTTCTTTATTTTATTTTTTTATAATTTTTTTTTTATCTTCTTTTTTTTTTTTTTCTACAAACTTTTTTTTATCTCTCTATGTCAGGAGTTAGAGAGATACAATGTATCTCTCTTCTCCATTCATAGAGAGAGAAAAAACAAGGGGGCCGGGCTGTACAGTGACTGATCACTGTGATAGCCAATCAGAGGCTATCACAGCGATCACGTGACCCAGAATCGGGAGTCCCGGGTCCCGATCGTTAGAACAGGACCCAGGGCTCTCAGTGACACCGCGGTCTTTGTGCTGGGAGCACGCAGTGCGGCGCGCTCCCAGCACAAAGACAGGCACGCAAATATGTGGCCCCACGAAAAAAGCCCAGTTCCGTGAGGCCGCATATTTGTGTGACGTTGGCCTCAAGGGGTTAACAGGCTGAGCAAAATAAAACAAAATGTTCCCCTGTAACTGTGTGTAAAAATTCTTACCCCAGCACTTGCAGTTCACAACTTTCAATGCTGCCGGGTCCTACTGTCTCAGTGCACAACAGCACACAACTCTAGTCCCTGCATGCAAGGGTGGCTCCATAGCATGCTGCAAGAGAAAGGAACCACCCTGAAGCAGGAGTACTGGGACATCAGACATGGCATGAGCTTAAACTGCAACATAGGCAAGGATTAAAAGATAAAGAAGCTACATACTCAGCAATGATTAAATCATTTGCTGAAAGTCCCTAAAAACCTAAGGATTTATTATAACTTTAAGTCACATATTTACACTTAAGGAGCTCTGTTCTGACAACTGTCCCCAGTCTGATCCCCTGCCTTCTCCTGAGAACTGGCATTGGCCCTTCAACCACACACCCTTTCTGCAAGTTATCTGGAGAGTGATTGTCTGCCACTAAAGGAGCGCCCCTACTTGTCAAAGTGGAGGGACATCTGTCAGCCTTATGGCAAAAGAAAGCTCAGATATTTAGGTCAAGAGCTTCATTTTTGGGGGCTACAAACTCTCCATGCTTTTTGACTAGGGTCATTACCCTAGTCTCAATCGAGGAACAATTTTAGGGTTTTTGTTTAGACTTGTTCACAGTTCAAGGCAAATGGAGGCACTTGGCCCATTCTTGATCTGAGTTCCATTGAGTGTTCAAAGGTTCCACATGGAATCATTGCCTTCCGTCTTCCTAGGCCTTCTGTGGACATCAGAGATTCTTACACCAAAACTATATGCAATTTGCTGTGGGTGCTCAATTTTACCAATTTGTTGCCCTCCCCTCTGGCCTGTTATAGCACCTTGGGTCTTCACAAAGAGCTTGCCCAGGACTTAGCTCTTCTCCATTCTCAGGGGATACATGTTGTGGGATACCTGGACAATCTACTGTTAAAAGACCTCCTTAACTCTATCAGCCAATGCCTAGAGGACAGTACAGACGTTCATTTGGATCCTCAATTATCCAAAATCATCCCTAGAACATTTGATATGGCCCTATGCAGTATTTTCTGTTCCTCTACTTTTGTTCCCAGGTCCTCTAGTCCCAAGGCTGCCCTTGATTCATGCTTGCATGAAGGCCTTGGATCTGATGGTATCCATCTTCTAAGCAGGGCTGTATGCCCAGATTCACTTCAGACAGTTGCAACTTAACATTCTGGCAGCATGGGACAAAAAAAGACTTGGTCAGCCCCATGTATCTGCCCTAAAATGTCAGACTTTGCCTGATGTTGTTGGGTCAGCACTGGGACCAGGGAAATCCTTTCCCCCAAAGACATGGAGGGTTCTCACAACGGCTTAACACCAGCTTAACAGGCTGGAGAGGAGTCCTGGATACCCTTTTGGTACAGGGGACATGGTCGATGGAGGAAGCTGGACTAAGCTGCAAGGTCACCTGACCAGAATCCAGTTTTGCCAAGGCATGCCATGACAGCTGTCTACAATTCATCAACCATCAAGGATGCACTATAAGTCTTGCTGCTCTAAGAAAACTTGATTCTCACTTGGGCAGGGCTGTATGTTCTGACCATGTTCGCTGGCTACATATAGGAGTGAAAAATTGGCAGGTCCATTTTCTCAACTGCCAACATACTGATCAGGGGAATGGACTTCCCACCCATAAAGTTTTTCAAGCTATTTGCCGCAAGTGGAGGACAGCAGAAGTGGATCTTCTAGCATCCTAATTCAGCAACAAACTTGACAGGTGTGTGGCCAGGTCCAGGAACCCTCAGGCCTTTGCAGTGGACATTCTGGTGGCTTGGGTAGACAATTTCAACCTAAGCTATGTCTTCCCTTCCTCCTTCATCTGTTCTGCAGGATAGAGATGGAGAGCAATCTGGTGATTTTTATTGCACCAAACTGGTCCAGGAGGACTGATGAAATCTCCGCAGGCCCTTCTGGATCATCCAGACCTTCTCAGTCTCTGGCCTTAACAGCATGGTAATTGAAGTCAAGGTCCTGTAGGACAGGAGCCTATTGGATTTGGTTATCCCTACCTTCATGAAGGCTAACTTCTCTAAAAAAAAATACACACCTGGAAGGTCTACTTTGCATGGTGGAGGCTAGAAAATTTAATTCCTGGAAGTACTGTACTCCCCAGGATGCATCTTGTACCATCATGTGGTAAATCCCTGCCCTGGTCAGTATATTTCAGAGGCTATTCGCCTTTTTTTTCCTAGTTAAGGCTTTTTGCAGGGTGTTGCATCTTCCCCAATACTGTGACTCAGTGGGACCTAACCTGCTTCTTTTGGTGCTTTAGAAGCTACCTTTGGACCCATAAGGGGACATATGCCCTTGTCTGACCTCACTCGAAAGGCAGCCTTTCTTGTCATCATTCGGCAAGGAGGTTCTCTAGGTTAGCAGCCTTATTTTGTAAAGGGTATTTCCTAGTGTTACATTAGAACAACGTTGTCCTAATACCTAAAGACTCCTTTCTTCTCTAGGGGGTTTTCTCCCTCCACCTAAACCAGGACATCCTTTCCACTGAATATCCTGCTCCTAAACATCACAAAAAGATTTCTCTCCACTATCTTGGCATGGTGTGCACAATGAGAGTCCTACTCTCGGCTACAGCTTCTTTTTAGCAGTTGCATACCTTCTTTGTTCTTCCTGAAGCTCCTAGCTTCTTGCTCCATCATTGCTTGGTGGTTATAGAGAAGTCATAATTTGAGCCTATGATCTACAAGATCTTATCATTCTCCATGGTTTCTCAGCATCGGGTATATTTTTTATCAGATTGGTAAGGCTGCCACGCAGGCTTCTGTTCACACAAGTTCTACCAGGTGCACATTCAGGCATTCTTTTTTCCTCTGTTCCTTATAATCTCTCTATTGCTTGCTACAAAAATGAAGGTGTGTTAGGAGTGGGAGGGATTATACAGTATATGGGAAGTTCCTGTGGCTTTTTTTTTTATTGCTATTGTCCAGTCACCTGAAGGTAGCTGTATATAACTCAAAGGTAGGACCAAGATCCTGTGTCCTGTACTGTTCTCCAAGTTTTACTGGTAAGTCAGCAATCCTATTTTTTTT